TTACATCAATTCTCTGTAAGGACAAAAATCTTACCGTAGGGCTGTGGCACACACCATGAGCGAATTCCATGAAACTTTTTCAGGTGATTAATGCCCAAACATTATGACATAATCAACATTCAAAATTAAGTTTACTACCTTGGTTGCCATGGTAACCGACAAAAATAGATTTTGGCCCCATTTAATCCCATTTCAAGCATAAAAAGAAATATATATAAAAGAAAATTTGATAGTTTAGTATCTTGGTTGCCATGGAAACAGCCAGAAAATTTTGAAAAAATGAGAAAAAAAAATAAAATGAAGGAAAAACCAACAAATCATTCTCACAAAAACTACACACCTTGTTGCAATTTATGCTTCACAGAAAATGTTAAGAAAAAAGTCAGTGGTAAATATGGGTATATTTGGAAACCATTTTAAATGCTGAAAAATGAAAAATATTCACTAATTTTAGGTGTAACATGACCAAACTTTAATAACAAGTTAAGAAAAACAATAAAAATGTTTGATCTCAAAGAAATAGGTATAGGCAAAATTATTCTATTTAAAAAAACTTTCATGGTTTCCATACTTACACAGTATAACCAAGCAAAATGAATTTTTAGGATTGGATTAATTCTATTATCTTGAGGAAAAACAAGAAAATTCTAGACAGGCACATACTAGTATGCATCATTAAGACCTTGCAACACCAACAACATACGAAAACTTTTCACAGGAACTTATCCTAGTAATCAATATTTTCAAATACTACATACAAAACGGAATAAGGTACTGGATTTAAACTGACTATAACTATTGTAACACAGCATTAAAAAATCATTAATGCATAGTCTAACAATCTGTAAACATACACATATTCATGTGTATACTGTAAATCATTTTTATTCATGAAAACATTATTTTTCCATAATTACCCAAGACATTGTGCTCTCAAAAAATTAAATCTCACATATAATAGTATTTCTTGAGATTAAAGAGCACACTGAAATCAATTTGTGAAAAAATTGTCTGTCTAAAAAAAGAGTCAATGACAATGTTGCAAAATAAGGTATTGCAAAAATTATGTGTTCTACAGTACAATAGATTTTGGCCCCATTTAATCCCATTTCAAGCATAAAAAAGCAATAAAATTCAATTCATATAGAATAATCATCTCTATTATTTTAAAGTAAATAATACATTTTACGAATAGAACATATTGAGCAATATATCACACAAATATAAAAAAAATCTACATGTCACTGCAAATTCTTCCATTGGTGGCTCAGAGACCAAATTCTTACATTTTGAAAATGGTCATTTTTACCCAATATTTCAAGACGCCTTTCAAGGAATGCAGGCAATATGAAATAAAATCAATTGAAATTTTTAAAAAACCCTATAATAATATTATTCAACTTTTATAAAAAGTAGAGTGGGTATTTTATTCGTTTTCAGTATTTTTAACGTCGAAAATTGGTATTTTGCTAAATAATTCATTTTTTTTTTCAATTTTTTACCAGACACTAGTTGTTTAATAATATTTTTTTCCAAAGATTTTTTCTCTTATAAATATGACAAATCAAATGGATAATAAATAGTTTCTATTTTTTTAAAGCTATTAAATAAAATAAATAAGAATTATTTGACTTATAGACGAATTTCACATTCCTGAGAGTTATCTCCCGTTGTCGGCGTAATGCTCATTTTCCCCACTTTGTCCTTTGTAAGTTACCTGTTAATATTTTCAATCTTCAAACGTTATCGGACAATTTCTATCTGTACCTGTATTGCCAGTGTATGGGGCAACGTGAAAAACATAATGGGCATATTCATGACGATTTTATTTCTAAGATACTGGCCCATAAAGTTGGTAAGGTTATAGAGGGAAAACAGCGTCTTACGCCGGTTGACCCCGGATTGACCCAACAAAGGGGAATAACTTTTGTAAATGTGAAAGTCGTCTATTACTCTTTCTCAATGATCCTTTACAAAGGGCAGATAACTCAAAATCTAGCAAAAATTAGCTCTCTAATAGACCTTTTCTACAAACAATTAAACTTCTTTGTCATGCACTGATTCTGATGAAACTCTGACCATTAGTATTAATTGACACCAGAAATATATATCAAATAAAATTTGATAGTTAAGTATCTTGGTTGCCATGGAAACAGCCAAAAAATTTTGAAAAAATGAGAAAAAAAATAAAATGAAGGAAAAACCAACAAATCATTCTCACAAAAACTACACACCTTGTTGCAATTTATGCTACACAGGAAATTTTTAGAAAATTATATGTTAGTCAGTGGTAAATATGGGTATATTTGAAAACCATTTTAAATGCTGAAAAATGCAAAGTATTCACTAATTCTAGGTGTAACATGACCAAACTTTAATAACAAGTTAAGAAAAACAATAAAAATGTTTGATCTCAAAGAAATAGGTATAGGCAAAATTATTCTATTTAAAAAAAACTTTCATGGTTTCCATACTTACACAGTATAACCAAGCAAAATAAATTTTTAGGATTGGATTAATGCTATTATCTTGAGGAAAAACAAGAAAATTCTAGACTGGCACATACTAGTATGCATCATTAAGACCTTGCAACACCAACAACATACGAAAACTTATCCTAGTAATCAATATTTTCAAATACTACATACAAAACGGAATAAGGTACTGGATTTAAACTGACTATAACTATTGTAACACAGCATTAAAAAATCATTAATGCATAGTCTAACAATCTGTAAACATGTACATATTCATGTGTATTCTGTAAATCATTTTTATTCATGAAAACATTATTTTTCCATAATTACCCAAGACATTGTGCTCTCAAAAAATTAAATCTCACATATAATAGTATTTCTTGAGATTAAAGAGCACACTGACATCAATTTGTGAAAAAATTGTCTGTCTAAAAAAAGAGTCAATGACAATGTTGCAAAATAAGGTATTGCAAAAATTATGTGTTCTACAGTACAATAGATTTTGGCCCCATTTAATCCCATTTCAAGCATAAAAAAGCAATAAAATTCAATTCATATAGAATAATCATCTCTATTATTTTAAAATAAATAATACATTTTACGAATAGAACATATTGAGCAATATATCACACAAATATAAAAAAAATCTACATGTCACTGCAAATTCTTCCATTGGTGGCTCAGAGACCAAATTCTTACATTTTGAAAATGGTCATTTTTACCCAATATTTCAAGACGCCTTTCAAGGAATGCAGGCAATATGAAATAAAATCAATTGAAATTTTTAAAAAACCCTATAATAATATTATTCAACTTTTATAAAAAGTAGAGTGGGTATTTAATTGGTTTTCAGTATTTTTAACTTCGTAAATTGGCATTTTGCCAAATAATTCATTTTTTCAATTTTTGACTAGACACTAGCTGTTTAATAATATTTCTTTTCCAAAGATATTTTCTCTTATAAATATGACAAATCAAATGGATAATAAATAGTTTCTATATTTTTAAAGCTATTAAATAAAATAAATAAGAATTATTTGACTTATTACTCTTTCTCAATGATCCTTTACAAAGGGCAGATAACTCAAAATCTAGCAAAATTAGCTCTTTAATAGACCTTTTCTACAAACAATTAAACTTCTTTGTCATGCACTGATTCTGATGAAACTCTGACCATTAGTATTAATTGACACCAGAAATATATATCAAATAAAATTTGATAGTTAAGTATCTTGGTTGCCATGGAAACAGCCAGAAAATTTTGAAAAAATGAGGAAAAAAAAATAAAATGAAGGAAAAACCAACAAATCATTCTCACAAAAACTACACACCTTGTTGCAATTTATGCTACACAGAAAATGTTAAGAAAAAAGTCAGTGGTAAGTATGGGTATATTTGAAAACCATTTTAAATGCTGAAAAATGAAAAATATTCACTAATTCTAGGTGTAACATGACCAAACTTTAATAACAAGTTAAGAAAAACAATAAAAATGTTTGATCTCAAAGAAATAGGTATAGGCAAAATTATTCTATTTAAAAAAAACTTTCATGGTTTCCATACTTACACAGTATAACCAAGCAAAATAAATTTTTAGGATTGGATTAATGCTATTATCTTGAGGAAAAACAAGAAAATTCTAGACTGGCACATACTAGTATGCATCATTAAGACCTTGCAACACCAACAACATACGAAAACTTATCCTTGTAATCAATATTTTCAAATACTACATACAAAACGGAATAAGGTACTGGATTTAAACTGACTATAACTATTGTAACACAGCATTAAAAAATCATTAATGCATAGTCTAACAATCTGTAAACATGTACATATTCATGTGTATTCTGTAAATCATTTTTATTCATGAAAACATTATTTTTCCATAATTACCCAAGACATTGTGCTCTCAAAAAATTAAATCTCACATATAATAGTATTTCTTGAGATTAAAGAGCACACTGACATCAATTTGTGAAAAAATTGTCTGTCTAAAAAAAGAGTCAATGACAATGTTGCAAAATAAGGTATTGCAAAAATTATGTGTTCTACAGTACAATAGATTTTGGCCCCATTTAATCCCATTTCAAGCATAAAAAAGCAATAAAATTCAATTCATATAGAATAATCATCTCTATTATTTTAAAATAAATAATACATTTTACGAATAGAACATATTGAGCAATATATCACACAAATATAAAAAAATCTACATGTCACTGCAAATTCTTCCATTGTTGGCTCAGAGACCAAATTCTTACATTTTGAAAATGGCCATTTTTACCCAATATTTCAAGACGCCTTTCAAGGAATGCAGGCAATATGAAATAAAATCAATTGAAATTTTTAAAAAAAAAACCCTATAATGATATTATTCAACTTTTATAAAAAGTAGAGTGGGTATTTTATTCGTTTTCAGTATTTTTAACGTCGAAAATTGGTATTTTGCCAAATAATTCATTTTTTTTTCAATTTTTTACCAGACACTAGCTGTTTAATAATATTTTTTTCCAAAGATTTTTTCTCTTATAAGGTCGTTTAAAGCAATTGCTAATTAAACGCATTTAATTGATTTCCGAAAAACACAGGGGGTAGGTCTTTTGACACTTTCCCCCGATTGCCGCGAGTATAAAAGAGGGGCGCACGTGGCGTTTTCCTCCTCTTGCTCGATAGCTTTCCCAGCGTTTCTGCACTTTTGATAATTGTTTTAAAGCCTCCGAGAGCGGTGCAGCAAAATCAAAAAATCATGCCACCCATTAGAGCCAGAAAGTCCCAAGCCACTGCCAAGTCCACCATGGCAAGCAGGCGGACCAAGGGAGCCAGGCGGCAGCAGGACAGAGGGGGGAGGAGAAACCTAACCGCTGTCCACCACGCCGACACCAGGGCAGCCCCTGAGACCGAGGGGATTGGTACAAGTACCCAGGGCTGGGAGGAAAATATCCAAGCCTCCACGGGAATGGCGGAGGAGCATGTGCCGCTCGGTACCAACCATACGGGTAGGCAATTAGATTTCTCTACTTCGTGGCCTGTCCCGGAGGAAGCTGCCCTGTCAACGGCAGACAATTTCGGGGCGATGCCAAACATGGTGGTTTGCGCTGGGGACGATATAGGTGCCCATGTTCCAATGGCTTTAAAACAAAAAATTTGGGCGGGGAACTATATAAACTTAGCCCTGCTTACAAAGGGAAGCGCTGAACTGCAGCAGTTCGCTGCGGGTAGTAATTTCGTCTTAAATGATAAGGGGGAACTCGAGGCTAAGCCCAAAGTTTTGAATGAGAAGATAACAACCATCGATAGATGGACTGATGCTTTTCTGTTATATATGCACATATATATTCAAAGGCACCCAGTGAGGGCAGCCGAATTGGTTCAATATATGTTTGTCATTCGCGATGCAGCGAGGAAATTTCCGGGCATGGGATGGAGAAATTACGACGAGCAATTTAGAGTTCGTCAAGCAATATCTTACCAAAATTGGGCAAAATTAAATCCTGATTTATGGCTACGTTTGATCGCTGTCCCACCCAGGCCGGAACCTAGCCTCGCTGCATCGCACACACCAAACCAAACTGGTGTATGCTTTGGTTACAATAGAGGTCGTTGCATTACAGCCAATTGCAAATTTGCGCATCTATGTTCTCTTTGTAAAGGAAAGCACCCAAAATCGAGTTGTGCAAAAAATGATACTTTTCGTACCTCAAAAGCATCAAACAGCACTGCTGCAACCAATAAAGGTCAAAAACTTTAAATTAGCAAATTCCCCTATAAACACTGCAGTTTTAAAAATTTTTCTTACAAATTATCCGAATTTAGAAGTAGCAAAAGAACTTATGAATGGTTTTCAATTTGGTTTTCGATTGCATTACCGGGGTCCTCGAGAAAAAACAGAAGCACCTAATTTGCCCTCTTTTTATAAACATGCAGATGTAGCTAGAGTCAATATCAAAAAAGAAATTGATAAGGGAAGGATGGCTGGCCCATTTAAATCACGACCTATGTCAAATTTGCGAGTTTCGCCACTGGGAGTAGTGCCCAAGAAAGCGGAGGGGGAATTCAGGGTAATTCATCACCTCTCATACCCTACCAATAATTCCGTCAACGATTTTATTGACGAAGAGCTTTGTTCTGTCAATTACACAAAATTTGACGAGGCCATTAGCATGGTTCAACGTCTTGGGCGCGGATTTTACCTAGCCAAATCGGATATCAAAAGCGCTTTCAGATTAATGCCCATTTGGCCCGGTGATTTTGAACTTCTGGGTTTCAAGTTTGACGGCTGTTATTATTTTGACAAATGCCTCCCCTTTGGGTGTTCTATATCGTGCGCTACATTCGAAAAATTTTCCTCGTTTCTAGAGTGGCTTGTGCGCGAGCGAGCTTCTTCTAGAGAAGTCCTACACTATTAAGACGATTTCTTGTTCGGGGGTTATACGACAGACGAGTGTCAAATGATAGTAGAAACTTTCATACAGGCCTGTCAAGAATTAGGGGTCCCAATAGCATGGGAAAAAAGCGAGGGTCCACACGAGGTTATTACTTTTCTTGGGCTTGAAATTGATACGCAAAAAATGCAGGTCAGGTTGCCGGAAGAAAAGGTGAATGAAATCAGCATGATTATTGAAGGCATATTGAAGAAATCGAAAACGAACTTGAAAACCATGCAATCTCTAATAGGATATCTAAATTTTGCCTGCAGAGCAATTCCTCCAGGTCGCACTTTCTGCAGGCGGCTGTCAAATGCAACACGTGGTTTGTCTCAACCCTATCATCATTTAAGAGTAACAAAAGAGATAAAAGCGGATTTACTTGTATGGCTGGAATTTTTTGACAAATTTAACGGTTTTGTGGTATTCCAAGAAAAGTTTTGGGTATCTAACATAGATTTAGAACTTTTTTCAGATAGCTCGGCACGTCGAGGAAATGGTTTGGGAATTTATTTTAGCGGTGCATGGACCTACGGGGTATGGCCAGAGTTTTGGTTCAATAAGGGCTATACTAAGGATATCACTGTGTTGGAATTTTTTCCCTTGCTTGTTTCAGTAATTTTATGGGGGGAAAAGCTGCGAAACAAAAAAGTTTTATTTAGATCTGATAATCAATCAGTGGTACATATTGTGAATTCGATGACATCAAAATCAGAATTAGTAATGATCATGTTGCGCAAATTCGTTCTAAAATGCTTGCAGTTGAACATTTCATTTAAAGCGCAGCACGTCTCGGGCGTTCAGAATTCATTGACGGACAGTTTGTCACGTTTACAATTTCAGCGATTTCACAAGTTGGCTCCGGACGCAGACAGTCAGCCGACACCATTTCCAGAGGCACTTTGGACTATTTTCGAGACGAAATCACTCGATTGTTAGATGCAAGCATTTCAGCAAACACCAGGGCTGTGTACTTACAAGCTTTAAAGAATTTTAAAGATTTCAGAATATTGACAAAACTACCTGATAAATGGCCAGTCCCTTCAAACCATATTCTGTTATTTATAGCATATCACTCAGGCAAGGGCTCAGCAGCTTCAACAGTTTCATCCTATATTTCGGGTATTAGCTATGTACACAAACTGAGACAATGGACCGACCCGGCAGAGTTATTCATAGTTAGGAAAGCTTTGGAAGGGTTGCGAAGATTAAATAGAACGAAAGACCACAGAGCACCTATTTCGGAGGAGCTTCTCGTTAAGATCTGTGGCGCTCTAAATCAAGTGTGTTATTCGGAATATGAAACATTCTTGTTTAGATCAGTTTTTACCTTGGCCTTTTACGGCCTATTTAGGGTAGAGGAGTTAGTGTATACCTCGGAGCATTGTGCCCATGTACCCTTAACTATTAAGGATATAAAATTTTGTACGTCAAAGAGCGTTACTTGCGCCTCTATTTCTGTAAGATTCTCTAAAACGGATCAAACAGGAAAAGGTATCAATATTTTATTACCGTCTATTCATCAAGGAAACATTTGCCCAGTAAATAACTTGAAAAAATTTCTTTCAGTGAGACCACGTGTTGAGGGTTCATTATTTGTGCATAGCAATAAATCCCCGCTAACTAGATATCAGTTTAACGCCGTCCTGAGAAAAACCCTCTCCAAAATTAATCACCCAATTTCTGCTTACAAATCACATTCGTTTAGAATTGGAGGTGCAACGTGCCTTGCCTTGAAAGGGGTATCACATGACAAAATCCAATTACTGGGACGCTGGAAATCAAGCGCATTCCTAAAGTATATCAGATTAGATATGATGTGAGCTTTGTAGATGAATTGTATTTACCATATTATTTATTGCTTCTTTAGAACACCATGTATGGATTGTGGGATCTTCAATTGTTTACTGGGCATGTAGATGGGCGGCTACAAATCTGACTACTAACTTACGCTTGGAAAATTTAGGCGTTCAGGTAACCTGGATTGGCAAAAGGGGCATGAAATGGGGGGATCTTATTGACTCGATGGAGCAAAAGTTAACAAAATGTCCTCCTCCAGCATATTTAGTTATACACCTTGGGGGGAATGATATCACTTCAATTAAAAGCGAGGTGTTATGTACCAGAATAGAGCACGATATATGTTTAATGACAAACAGATTACCAAGCTGTAAAATGATATGGTCTGATATACTCCCGCGTCGGAAATGGATAGGGGGTCGTGACATATGTTCCGTCGAACGGAAGCGAAAACGAGTTAATAGAGCTGCTCGTAGGGCGGTCGCATCAGTAAACGGCAGTGTTATTAATCACCCTGATATAGAGTTTTCGGAGGAGGGGCTTTACCGCGCTGTGCAATTATAACAAACACTTTTCAATCAGCCATAGAAGCTTTTATCTCCTCTTAAATTTTATTTGTTGGGTGGCAGAGATGTATAGACATCTCTGAGTGGCGGATATGTCAGACAAGCAGAGACATTTGTCATCATTATATTAATTATTGTTTATGTATGATTATCTATTTTACATGATTTGTAGAGCATGTTGTGGCTCGCTAAGGCTACCCTAGGAGCCAATACAAGCTTGCTATGGAGTGCACTAGGAGCTTGTGTGAGGGATCTGTTCGGTATAACAGTAACCTCGTACCCCGTTCGGTATAACGGGTGGTTATTTTTGCCCTACTCAGTATAGTGGGCTTACCTGTTCAGTATAACGGGTGGTCATCTTTGCCCTACTCAGTATAGTGGACTTACCTGTTCAGTATAACAGGTGCCTCGCTAAGGAATCCCCTAGGAGGCAATTACATATCCCAGCTGACTCGCTAAGGGGTACCCTAGGAGTCGATTTATACATATTGTTACGCCTTGCTATGGATTACCCTAGAAGGCGAGGTGCCATAACGCTCGTTATCAATTTAGGTGTGTGGCACCCAATGATTGTTAAATGCTTGTCTGACATTTGTCATTGAAACAATTATTAAAGCTGTGGCCTTTATCATCCAAGAAACATGTTTTGTTATTTTTTCGGAAAAATATTCTATTAAGGTCGTTTAAAGCAATTGCTAATTAAACGCATTTAATTGATTTCCGAAAAACACAGGGGGTAGGTCTTTTGACACTTTCCCCCGATTGCCGCGAGTATAAAAGAGGGGCGCACGTGGCGTTTTCCTCCTCTTGCTCGATAGCTTTCCCAGCGTTTCTGCACTTTTGATAATTGTTTCCCACCCACCACTCCCACTTAATGAGAAATTAAATCTTAGATGTTGATAAATTGCTACCTTAAACATGTTAAGACTTTGAGATGCTGTTGTTTCTGCTGTTTATTTGTATTTTTCAGGTTACAATTAACTATGGATGTTTTATGTTTATGTGCGCAAGATTGTGATCTACTGGCAATGAGACTGAGGACTGACGAAATGTCGCTGTCGCAGCTTTACGGATATGTCAGACAAGCAGAGACATTTGTCATCATTATATTAATTATTGTTTATGTATGATTATCTATTTTACATGATTTGTAGAGCATGTTGTGGCTCGCTAAGGCTACCCTAGGAGCCAATACAAGCTTGCTATGGAGTGCACTAGGAGCTTGTGTGAGGGATCTGTTCGGTATAACAGTAACCTCGTACCCCGTTCGGTATAACGGGTGGTTATTTTTGCCCTACTCAGTATAGTGGGCTTACCTGTTCAGTATAACGGGTGGTCATCTTTGCCCTACTCAGTATAGTGGGCTTACCTGTTCAGTATAACAGGTGCCTCGCTAAGGAATCCCCTAGGAGGCAATTACATATCCCAGCTGACTCGCTAAGGGGTACCCTAGGAGTCGATTTATACATATTGTTACGCCTTGCTATGGATTACCCTAGAAGGCGAGGTGCCATAACGCTCGTTATCAATTTAGGTGTGTGGCACCCAATGATTGTTAAATGCTTGTCTGACATTTGTCATTGAAACAATTATTAAAGCTGTGGCCTTTATCATCCAAGAAACATGTTTTGTTATTTTTTCGGAAAAATATTCTATTAAATATGACGAATCAAATGGATAATAAATAGTTTCTATATTTTTAAAGCTATTAAATAAAATAAATAAGAATTATTTGACTTATTACTCTTTCTCAATGATCCTTTACAAAGGGCAGATAACTCAAAATCTAGCAAAAATTAGCTCTTTAATAGCCATTTTCTACAAACAATTAAACTTCTTTGTCATGCACTGATTCTGATGAAACTCTGCCCATTAGTAGTAATTGACACCAGAATTATATATCAAATAAAATTTGATTGTTAAGAATCTTGGTTGCCATGGAAACAGCCAGAAAATTTTGAAAAATTAGAAGAAGAAAAATATAGGAAAAACCAACAAATCATTCTCACAAAAACTACATACCTTGTCGCAATTTATGATACACAGAAAATGTTAAGTAAATATATAAGTCAGTGGTAAATATGGGTATATTTGGAAACCATTTTAAATGCTGAAAAATGCAAAATATTCACTTATTCTAGGTGTAACATGACCAAACTTTAATAACAAGTTAAGAAAAACAATAAAAATGTTTGATCTCAAAGAAATAGGTATAGGCAAAATTATTGTATTTAAAAAAACTTTCATGGTTTCCATACTTACACAGTATAACCAAGCAAAATAAATTTTTGGGATTGGATTAATGCTATTATCTTGAGGAAAAACAAGAAAATTCTAGACTGGCACATACTAGTATGCATCATTAAGACCTTGCAACACCAACAACATACGAAAACTTATCCTAGTAATCAATATTTTCAAATACTACATACAAAATGGAATAAGGTACTGGATTTAAACTGACTATAACTATTGTAACACAGCATTAAAAATCATTAATGCATAGTCTAACAATCTGTAAACATGTACATATTCATGTGTATTCTGTAAATCATTTTTATTCATGAAAACATTATTTTTCCATAATTACCCAAGACATTGTGCTCTCAAAAAATTAAATCTCACATATAATAGTATTTCTTGAGATTAAAGAGCACACTGAAATCAATTTGTGAAAAAATTGTCTGTCTAAAAAAAGAGTCAATGACAATGTTGCAAAATAAGGTATTGCAAAAATTATGTGATCTACAGTACATATAACAACTTTTTTATTATTAAATACAGTCTTTTTTAAAAATTATTAAGCAAGAAAATCTTAATTCTGAACATTATCCAAAATTTGTATTTATAGATCAAAAAATGTAACAAGAGGCTCATGGGCCACATGGCCCACCTGAGCAGCATTGGTGATGCCGTTCTTTACCCAATTTCCCCATTGTAATACCTAGTGCGACCTCGCCCCCAACCCCTTGTGGGGTCATGTTTTTAACAATTTAGAATCTACACTACACCAGGATGCTTCCACATAAGTTTCAGGGTTTCTGGCGCAATGGTTCTGGAGAAGAAGATTATAAAATATTTTTCCTATACATTTCTATGTAAAAATTTGATTGCCCATTGTGGCCCCACCCTTCCCCCGGGGGTCATGATTTGAAAAAAATTAGAATCTACACTACCCAAGGATGCTTCCACATAAGTTTCAACTTTTCTGGCCCAGTGGTTCTTGAGAAGAAAATTTTTTAATGACCCCCCTTATTTTTGTATTTTCTTGATTATCTCCCCTTGTGAGGGGTCTTTGCCCTTTATTTTAGCAATACAAAAATCCACTTTACCTAAGGATGCGTTGTGCCATGTTTGGTTAAAATTGGCCCAGTGGTTTTTGAGAAGAATTCTAAATGTGAAAAGTTAACAGACGGACGGACAGACAGCTAGACAGACGACGGACAAAATGTGATCAGAAAAGTTCTCTTGAGCCTTCGGCTCAGGTGAGCTAAAAAAGAAAAAAAAATTTTATATAACAATTTTGTAGAAACACCGAGACTTAATGTTTCCATGCATTCTTTTTTCATCAGATGTGGTGTTATGGCTGTCCAGTCAAGAAAATGGGTATAAAAAGTGACACTTGAAATAATCATCTTCAACTTTTTCCCTGGAATAAAAAAAAAACATACATGTATACCTTATTTAAAATCATTATATGAAAACAAATACATGTATAAGTATAAACATAGAAGTTTTCACTATCATGTATTTAATGAATTCTAAACCAATTGCTAGTAATTACACCTTGAAAAAAATGCCTCAAAAATATTTTAAGTACCGCGGTAATACATGTATAACCATTATAAGATAAAGGCAGCCTAAACAATTTAGTGAATTTACCATATCACAAACTCCAAAAACTTCTGATCCCCAAGTTCTTTAACATAATTTCCTTTCAAAAGAATACTGTTTGGTACAGATACTGTCTGTTCTCATGCACAATCACTTGCAAGTTTTCTGTCTTCATTTATTAATTTTGTAACTGCCTCCTGTTTCTGGTACATAACCTTTGTGTTAAAAAAGATAATAAAAACAAAAGAATAAAGATTATTTCCTAATCATTTCGCTTATATAGTTCATTGCTATACACTGGGTTCTAGTACTTCTATTTATAGTTATTTATAGGCCTTATATGCAACTTTCTTGAATAATTCATACTAGGGATGTCAACGAATATTCGAATATTCGAATATTCATTCGATGAGTTGATATTCGAATACAAATTTGAGATTCGAATATTCAGTTTTTAAGTATAAGCATTTAATAGAGAGAAAAATCTGACAAGTTTTATTTGAAATTGAATGAAGTTTGTACAGTTGACATGAATAAGATTTGATTTTTTTAAAAAAAAATTAAAAGACAGTCCTAGGATTAGTTTAAAACTGTGAAGAGTTTAAATATCAGAATAAATTATTCTTTGATCATTTAATCAGTGGTATAACAGTACCCAAAAACGTACAATCAGTTTGTATTGTTGTAAGGACACAGTTTTACACAAAACACATGGATCCTTTGTTCATGTATATATCATTAAAAATAAATATCGGGAAATAACCTCACTAAAATTAATTGATTTTAATTGTTCTTCAGTTGATACTTGTTTAAATTGGTATAAATTGGAGTAAGTCGTGTAGACTTTGGTAGGACGATCAGTTAATCTGTAAAATACTAAAGAAGCTTTTGAATTTGCAAAAAAAAAAAATCATTACATTTTAGATGTTTACTCTTCATGTACTCTGTACAATTTTTAAATATAATTAGTTTGCGTTTACAATACTCTGCGTAAAACTTAATTCCAAAATAATGACATGCAACATATACTGGCTAACAGGAGAGTTAAAAAAAATATAATTTATAATGCAAAATGTATTTATTTTATCGAATATATTCGAATACTCCTACCGAATATTCGAATATCAATTTTTGACAATTTTGAAATCCCTAATTCATACATATGAATACAATTGCATAATAGTTTTGTACATATTCATTTCATGAATTTGTGCATACAAGGAAGAAATTTGGATTAGATATTTGTAAGTTATAAGGTAACCAATATTAATTTAAATTTGCTTGTGAATCAAGTTTGGTAAGAGTATATTTCTTTTAATATAGAACAAACAATTATTTCATCCTTTCATCAAATAGTATTAACATACACCATGTGTTGAAAAAATTGAATTAAATCACAGTGTACTTACAGTTGCTCATATATCCTTCAATGTTGACTTCATTGATGTCATTTGTATTATTTGTAACATTTTACAAGTGTCAAAGCTCCTGTGTCGCAGCTCTAAAATGTAACAATACATAGTAGATTCTACAACTAATTA